GAAGATTCTTTTGGTGTGGATTGTGGAGGGAGAAAGAAAAAAAGGTGACATTTTATACTTATAATTAAACAATTTTGGTAACTTTTTTTTTCATCTAGTATTTTCTTTGATCAAATTTTCTTTTTTTTTTCTTTGTTTCTTGTGATTTTCTAAACATTTTTTTTGGGTTTGATTTGATTTTTCCATGGATGTAAATGCACGGTAGAGATTGTTTTATGATTCTAACGTGATTATAGCTTATCGATTTTTTTAGTATAATAAACTGTAGGTTGAACCTAACATATAAATAAATAATTTTAAGAAACATTATATTTTAATAAATAGTAGCGTGATCAATTTTAGTAAAAATAATATATATATATATATATATATATTTTTTTTTTTTGTTACTGAATGTTTAGAGAATATCTCCTTTTTATTATTGAACTCTATAAATAATTCACATACTCTATAAAAAATAGCATTTCATTTGTATTAATAATCCATGTACCATAACATAAATTGAAAATTGCAAACAATGCATACACACTATAAACAATTACATTTTCAATTTATAAATAATCAATTTACTCAATAAACAATAGTATTTGAATTATTATAAATAATATGAATACACTAGATATAAATTGCGAACTATAAATTTTAGGTTTTGAAAATAATAATAAGAATTGTTCATGTTTATACAATTAGGTAAGTTTCTGCCATTGCCACTAAATTATAAACTCTACGCCAAGATGGTTTGTAATTGTAAACATTTGGTTATATCATAAATAGTTTGTAAATATTTTTCTTTCGGATATATATTTATTAGTGTTTATTTTTCCACGAGATCTGATATGAATAAAATATTCTAATTTTTTTTAATGTTTTTTTTACAATTAGACCAAGATAATATAAGAGTTAATATTTATAATTAAGAAAATGTTAAGACACAAAATTCATATATATCGACACTATCGACTACATCAAGCTAAGCAATAAAATCCCTCCAAAACTTCTCTCATATATTTTGTTCTATATATATATATATTTAAAAAAAAACTTTTATTCTTTTTCTCTCTACCTTTTTTTCCCTTAAAAAACATTTTAACAAAAATCTACTAAAAGATATTTGCTGGTAGAACAACCAATCTCGTTCTTAATCATCATTCAAAAGAAAACGATTGTTTAGAGATTGTCGGACGGTTGTTATAAAAATTGTTTCTTTGCTTTACAAAAAAAATCAAGTGACTTGTAAAGTTGAAAGGTTACATAATATTTACCAATCATGATTTCGAATGAAAGAACAACTTTAGTTATTTAAATAAAGAAAGTCCTTCTATGAAAACAAGTTCAAGTTAAAAAAAAAATGAAGAATTGTTATGTTTTTCAATTCTCTCTATAATTGACTTTTGAAGGAGAAACCCTTTGAATAATATGTATGATAGAACTATTGAATTAACTACAAAAAGTAACTTTTTAAGGAATGGTTAGATCAATTATTATGTTTTAACTCAAAATACCAAAAAAGGAAAAAAACCAAAAAAATAAAAAAAGAAGAAAATGATGATGATGATACTCCTACCTACAAGACTATATAAAATGGAAAATAGGCAAAGAAAATGACATTTGTCACTTAAAACAACATTTGGGTTCCTTTTCATGGCCCTCTCAATCTCTCCAATCAAATATTCATCTTCCCATGAAGAAAGGCATCATACTATGGGATGAATGTCAATTTTACAACAAAAATTAACTTGAGCAAAACTTAGAAGTAAATAATATCTATTCCTCCCTTTAAGGTTGGAGGTTCGAATATCTATACTCCACATTTATTATACTAAACAAAAAGTACCTCAAGTAACAAAGATTTCACTATGAATGAAGTACATAGAATTTTACCTAACCTTTTCTACTAATGTTGACACGATAACGAGAAAAAGTATATACAGGTTTCTTTAAGTCAAGAAATGACATAAACATTTGCCAGAAAGAACCACAAACATTAAAAAATTTGGTCCTAAATGCATGTATTTGGAACTCATTGAATTGAGGACAAGAGAGGGGAAAAAGAAGGTACAAAGTACACTTTTTTCCTTCTTCAACAAAGAAGAGGGCATTGCAATTGAGTGGGCAAACCAAATATATGTGCTGCTTGTACCTTTAGATTATGCAAAGATTTCTTCTGTTTTTTTTTTGTTTCTCTTTAAAAAAATTATGAATTTTGGAAGAGATTCTTTTTCTTTGTAGTTGTGATAGTAAATGACTAATCATTGCCATCCTGAATTAATGATGGGAAAGTGGGCAATCTGATAAGACTCCTAGAGAAAGAGAGAGAAGCCATGGAAATACCTTTTTCCATATATATATTTATATTCCTTCTCTCAACAAATCTTTGGTCATGATTCTTGCTCCATTGATGGTTGTATAATGATATAAAATTGTAAAGGAAGAACTGAATTTTAGAGGTTGTGGTGAAAAGGGTTTGTCATTTTCATTGTGAACTAAACAATTACAAAGTGAATAAAGATTAGAGAACTTGTATGCCTATGCTCTAAAACTTTTGGAGTAGCATCTTCTTTCTCTAGTTCCAATTTTTTTCTCCCGACCTTTTCTAATTTTGGAGTGAATATCTAAACAAGATAAAAAATATATATCTTAATTAATTGAGTTATCATCAGATTTACCAAATTTTCACTTTTTTTTCTTAAGTTCAAGAAACTAGAAAGAGATAGAAAAATAAATGTTTAAAGTAAGAAAAAGTCTCCAAGGGAATGATTCAAGTTGGTGAGGAATTACACCGCTTTCGGTGGATTAGAGTTCAAGATATTAGGTTCACCATTTTGGTCCCAATCTTTAAAAAATATCTAACAAATTTCCGAACCTTCAATTTCATGTCTAATACGTACTTAAATATTCAATTATTTTGTGTAATATCCGTAGCTCGGTAGACATTTTTTTTGGGAGTAAAGGAGCCGATAGGACAAAAAATCTGAAGTTCAAAGACTTGTAAAACATTGTTTAAAACAATCTCCAAAGTTCAGCACCAAACTTGTAATTTAAAAAAAAAATTAATAATAAAAAGAATAAAAATAAAAACTACAGTCCAAAAACTAATATGCCACAATATACCCGTGGCAGTATGCACAACACACATACATATACAAGCATACACATGGATTCCCCCAGTCCCATCATTGAGATGAAAGAATTATTGAATTATTTCAATTTAGTTTCCAAAACAAGATGAAGCAGTGGAAGCAGAGACATGGCCCCTGTGGCCTGCATTTGAAAAGGATTTTCTGCAACTGAAAGTCAAAAGTAAAAGGCACATCATACAATACAATAGAAGGTTCCATACTCTTTCTTTTTCTAAGTGGAGGTAATTTCAATGTCTATTTCCAAGCTACTATTATGCCACAGTTCTGCAACTAACTCTACTCAAGCTCAAATAATGTACTATTGTTCAGATGCTTCCCATGTTTTCTGTCACATCCTCTTTTTTCGAGAGTTTTCTAGGACAGTCTATAACAGAACTTAAGAATCAACATGGGAAAAAGCAACCCCAGTTATGTTTCCTTCTGAACATGTAAAAGTAAAACAGCAGCACAAACCTTTCATAACACAGGAAAAATGAAAAGGGGCATACTGGTTTTATCCTATAACTATTCCCCACGATAGGTGTACATATAACACTGGAAAATAACAGTACCTAAACTTGAATGATTCAATTGTGCCTCAAGGTGATCGCAGTTTAGTGAGGAACTCAACAAACACTAATCTAACAACTCAAATTCAAATATCTCATCTCATCTCATCAATTATGTATCACAGCTACATCAGCAACTGCAATGTTGGAAACATGATCGTGTTATCTAACATTTATTACATGGCAGTAATAATGATGGTTGTAGAAGTGCAAGAACCATAGCTGCATTTTTTATTAACAATCACGGATAAATAAATCAAGTAAAACTTCAGAGACATGAATGATGTTAATGAATAGGCACTTATATAACATTATAACAAAATGAACTTGACATAACTAATGATGAAGGCAATGTAGCAAGAACTTACACAATGGAAACTGAGCAAAGGGAATTGTCAGTCATTGTGCCTACTGCCTACCACATCACACATCAGGCTGGCAAAATGATTCCCGAGCCGTGGCCATCAACAATCAGATCCAAAACATTCTTCCAGATCTCTGATAACTTAGAGTACTAGAGTTCTAATTATTTCTCCGTAACAACCATTTTCTTCAGTAATTTGATCCTGAAAATGACACCAAAAACTGCACGTGACGCCTCAATCCATTATATACCTTCCGCCTTATAGAAGAAAAGCTTTGTAGTACCAAATGCTCTCCTGGTGTTTGCAAGGGCCTTCCAAAACATAAGATGATAAGCAAAATTCTGGCAAAAGGATAAACAGCAACAATTTTGAAGACAGCAACAGCGGTAGGGGAAGCTTCAGAGAGTGTAACTATGAAAGGCATGAGGAGCAGCAAATAAGATTTTTTGGGGACTGTGAATGGTCATCCATTCAAAAATGCAATTGCAACTACTATTCAAGGTTCAAATCCCGGCATTGCAAATTGAGCTGAAAAACTTTCAACACGATTTCGGAGCTCAACAACTTCATTATTATTTTGAAGGCCCTTAAGATAAGCCTTTGGTAGCTTCCCATGCTCCCGCTGTACTGAAATTGCAATTTGAGCGGCTGTATGAAGAAAGTCAACAATTGTCTCAAAATCAGATTCCAGACAGCCTCTTGATGTCATAGCTGGGGTGCCTGCAGGCATAACAGATAGCTAATTTATACCACATAATCAATACCTACCAAGCTCTACAATCTTAATATACCCCAAAACCATGAAATATAGGAGTATAACTCACCAATCCGTACTCCTCCAGGAATAATAATTCCATTATCACCATATATTGTAATTTTGTTGAGAGTAATTTGGCATATCTCACAAACCTTCTCATAGTTCTTACCTACAAAGCCATCATGAAGATAGATGATATGTAATGAACGGAGAATAATAGATCAAGTAGCTACAGGTGCCACAAGAACTAGAGCTCAAGAAAAACATAAGTATATAAATATAGAATACTTTCTTTCTCTTTTGGATAGGAAACAAATTTCATTGATAGCATGAATACCAACAACAAGTTGTGAGTTCTAATAGATTATACATCATTCAGAAACTATCTTCTCCCTCATCTTTTGTATATTTCATCTCGTCAATGAAATGTTTCTATTTAAGAAAAAACATTGTACAACATAAACAAAGAAGCCAGAGAAAGGGATCTTGCAGTCACAAGCCATATATTTCTCGATAGACTCTGCAACACATATCTATATAAGATGTAGTCCTAGAGATGGATAGTGAACTAACACCAAACTGAAAATCAAATCCATTGTTTTGCAGTAGGACGATAGGGGCATATTTACCAGTTGCTCCCTCTTTGTCCAACTAACCAGCAGATCCACCATCCTAAACAAGAGGCTTTCTGGAGTCATAAAGCTCTAAGACAAAAATTGTCCTGTGGAACCTAGTTTTCTATGGGGCCTAAATACGGCTGCTTTATACAAAGAAGAAATCCTGAGTCTTCTCTTCTAGTTGTTCCTGCTTGTGATAAAAACGGTTCAGAAACCCAAATAGCTTATTCTCACACTGCTCCTTCACCCAAAATCTTTCAAGGAACTCTGCTAGATAAGTTAAATTTTGCTTGATGTGTCCCCTTATCTGTTCTGCAAATCCTGTATCATTGCCTACGTGGCATCCCTTTAAATACAAAGCAGAGAAAATCTGAAAAAAGATGCCATGAAGGGTTCTTTGAAGTTTGACTAGGAAAAAATCATAGATTGATTCACAATTTGGCCAGAAAAGAAGAAGTTTCAGAGTTCATCCAATACAAGGCTTCTTCTTGGAGTTCCTTATCAAAACGGATTTGTAACTGCAAGCAATCATTATTTATCGTTGCCAATTGGAGAAACTTTTCCAGCTCCTCTTTGGCTTCTTGGGTTGATTTCTCAGCACCCTTTCTGACTTGTCATGCCTACAGTCATAAGCCTTGGTTGCCTTTTCATCATTTCCAACATCTTTACTAATTTAGAAAAATATATTCAGTGTATTAAATATGTATTTGACAAAAACATGACTTCATTCATAATCTCTTTTTAAAAAATAAAAAAGAAAAAAAAGTATCAGAGATTACTATATAAAAACATATTTGTAATCAATCAAGTACTTTTTTAGCACAATTTACTACAATATCATATTTTATATAGCCTGTAAAATGGTACTATCTTCTATATTCACAATTCACAATGTGTAACATAATCCATCCTCACTTTACTTGAGCAACACTATTAGTGCACCTCTTGCCTCTAGAAAAACAAAAAGCTTGCCATGTGCCTCAAATATGCAATGTTCACATCAATTTGCAAAATTTGAATCAAGATTATGCACCTGTTAATCCCAAGGGCCTCAGATCCCAGAGTAACATGTGATTATCTGTGCCACCAGTTACAAGCCTGTACTTTTTTCGAAGTAAAGCAGAAGCCAAGGCTTGAGCATTTTTCTTCACCTGCTGCATGTATGCCTTGTATTCTGGAGTAGCCAATTGTTTTAGGGCAACCGCAAGAGCAGCAATATGATTATTGTGTGGTCCACCTTGTAAAGATGGAAAAACAGCAAAGTTTATCTTCTCCTCAAAGTCATATTGGTCAGTCTCGTTTCCCTGGTACAAAAGCATTGCTCTCTTCCTTGGCTTACTACCCTTCCTATAGAAAATTATACCTCCCCTTGGACCTCGGAGGCTCTTATGAGTAGTTGAAGTCACAACATCACAGTACCCAAAAGGGCTAACACATTCCTGTAATAAAATGTAAATCAAAATATTAACGGAACAGTAGAGATAATTTTTCCACCTAAAACTACAAAATTACACATATGAGGTATTGATGGGCCTAACGGGTGTAAAAGCAACAAACTATTTTGTAAAAAAGGAAATAAAAATTCACACTGAGTGATGAAAGTGCAAACAGAAACGATTACAAAACAAAGACTGTCAATTCATGCACTCCACGAAAAAAAAAAAATTTAAATGAGGTTCTACAGATTAAATAATAAATACACAGTTAAACAAACTGTATAATAGAAGCAAGTAGAAAGGAAAGACAATCTTTTGATAAAAAGTAGCAAAAAGAAATGCCACAATACATAAGCTTAAAGAATAAAAAACATTCACAAGTACTTCTCATTTCTCAAAGATTTCAAATTTCATCTGTTTAGATATTCAAATATCTTGATTATATCAACAACCAACTAAATTGTGGCCCAAAAGAATGAAGACACAATATTACATAAGATAAGGAAACCTAAAACTTTTTTGAACAGATAAAACTCAATATATATATATACACAATGCAAAGATGGAGAAAAGTTCACACCTTAGCAGCGACAAGGCCACTAATTTGAGCCATATCACACATTAGAACTGCTCCACACTTATCTGCAATCTGCCTAAACCTTGCATAATCCAACTCACGAGGATATGAGCTCCCACCACAAATAAGTATTTTTGGGCGAAAGTCAAGCGCCCTCTCCTCGAGCTTATCATAATCTATATACCCAGTTTGCGGATTCACCTTGTATGGCAAACTCTCAAAGAAAATTGAGGCCCCCGAAACTTTTCTGCCATTTGGGGTACAGTACCCATGACTTGTATTCCCACCTGAAGGGGTATCTAACCCCATGATTCGATCTCCGGGTAGTAACAGACCAGTGTAGACAGCAAAGTTCGCGGACGTGCATGAATAAGGTTGCACGTTAACTCCCCAATTATCAGAATCAAGACCAAAGGCCGCCAATGCGCGCTCACGGCAAAGGGTTTCAATCTCATCTATATATTGATTTCCACCGTAATACCGCGCACCAGGCATTCCTTCCGAGTACTTATTAGTCAAATGGCTTCCAAGTGCTTCCATAACAGCCCGGCACACATAATTTTCGGAAGCAATCAATTCGATTCCCTTGAATTGCCTATGTTTCTCCTTCTCCATAATCCCAAATAGGTTAGGGTCCGCAACTCGAAGGGTCTGGTTGCCCCACGACCGTACGGCACTCCTTCTCGCATCCATATCAAATTCACACGAAACCCTCTTGGTAGAGCCCGACGAGGATGAAGATTCGCCATCTCTTCGGCGCTTCAAGCACATAGAATGACCCAGAATACGAAACTCCTCCACCTCCCTGTCGTCGTAGTCATCGTCTTCTCTCTCCGCCTCTCCATCCTCGTCTCTGTGACTCTCCGTCTGCGGTTCCATCAACTGAAGAGGGACTGGGGGGGACGAATACGGGGGTTCCCGTCGAGTAGAATCGAGATGAAGAAGGACGGAATCATCAGCAATTTGAGCGCGGTGGGGCGGCGAAGCATGAGACGAGAACCCGAGAGATAGATTGGAATGGGAATTGGACAAATCCATTAGCTACAAACAAAGAGAAGCATCAAAGTCTTAACCCTAGCAAACGAATCCCAATCCCCCAAAAGTCACACCTCCTGTAAACCAACCTAATCAGAGAGAAAAATGAAGGAAAAGAAACCCGAATCCAACAGAAGTTCCGGTTCCCTTCCAGTCAGGAACAAGAAGAACAGCGGCAGGGGCGATTGAAGTCGGTACAACAGCTGGGATTGAATGTTGGTCCCATTGAACTTGAAGAAACTTCCATCGGAAGTGTAGAAACAACAAAAGCCCTGAAATTATCACAATTCTCTCAAGAAATGGAGAGAAATTGAGGAGGAAGAAGAAGAAGAAGAAGAAGAGGTTGATTCTTAATTCGGCCGTGGAGGGCCGCACCTGGACATACTCAAATTACCCAACAAACTCTTGTATTCACCCTGCTGTTCTTTTATTTTTTATTTTTTCATTTTTCCTTTTTAAATTATGCTCTATTTTTTTACTATGTTTTTCAATTTTTTTCGAAACCCAATTATATTTGTAGACAAATTTCAAAAATAAAAGCTACATTTTTTTTAATTGACAAAACTTTGCTTAGATTTAAAAAACAAAGTAGATAATAATCGATAATAATAATCGTATGTATTTTTTACATATGTGTTTAAAAAATCTATCTAACTTTTAAAAATAAGTATTAAAAAGAAACTCACTAGTCATTGTGTTTCTACTGTCTTAAATATTTTTGTGTAATCTTTAAATTTTTAAATATTATCTTTTAAACTTTTAAATTTTATGCACATTATTATTTGAGTCATCCATATTGATTTTCATTTTTTTTTAATTTTAATACATCACAAATAAATATATGAGAATTTAAACTACAATTCAAAAAGAAGAATACAAGTTAAATTTTCCATATTTGGTATTTAACCTAATTCAAATATGTGATTATTTATCAAGCAAAATATATTTGTGTGCAAAGTGTGCCTCACTATAAGAACAGTCATACAAATGACTTACACATTGAATATATAATATATGATTGAAATAATAATAAAACATATTGTTCAATTTCTCAAAAAAAAAAAACCTATGGTTCAAGATGCCCTCAAAATTCTTTTTTTGGAATATCAAAGGTGTACATTTTAGAATATATACATTCTTTTAAATGTCAACTCTTCGTCTAGTGCAAATCTAAACATAATACAATTAATTTAAGCATATATTCTATGCAACTATTATTCAAATATAAAGTACCAATAATACATTAACCTTCAATTAATATTTACCATTTGGGCTATAGTAACTCTTTAACACCTTTAACATCAATTACCTCTTGAAAAGGACATTTGTTGAGGCTCTGTTGAACTTTTACAAATAGGTCTTCTTTGAATGTTTCAAGTTGATACTCTCCTTCAGCTGTAAGAAGTGAATTTTTTGCCAATTGATTCTCTGCTTGTGATCTTGTAGTTGAATCTCCATACATGTCTTAATACACTCCCAGCCATTGAGGGACATAGCTGAAAAGACCAAAAATCTTGAACGACCGATTCAACATGACTCGAAAGATTAAAAAGAAGTCGCTTTTTAGTTTCTTCACCCCCTTCAGGGGTGGCCCCACCTTCAGTTATGTACATTCAAAATTTGGACGATGGAGCAATGATCTATCTTTCATCTCAAAGCATATAGGTATCAAGTTTCACCACCAGAATTTCTGTTATGACCATGAAGGTAGCACTCTTCCACCGTTACGATGATCCTGGTCATCCTTTACGTCCAAGTCGCGAGTTTCATAATAACTGTCATCAAAATCCATCTCACTGTCAACAAAGTGATCCAAACATTCTGGCTCCAAAGAACTATGAATCTTGGGAACTTTGTTCTGAATTTTTGTTGCTCTCTTCTTTGATCTATCAAAGCTTTTAGTGACATCATTGTCCTCTAAATATTCATCTGCATCTTTATTTCCATCTCTTCTTCTCTTTGCAGAATCATTACTGTCATTACTGTTGCTTCCATTTTTCTCTGTCCCATAGAATTCCTTGATGGTAGATTCTATGGTTTCCAAAATACGGTCTCCATACTTGCTTACCTTAGCCCTAAATCAAGGATAATTTTGTTGTCAAATGTTCTGTACTATAGAGTAACGTTCTGAAGACAAAACCTGAAAACTTACTTGCCAATGCCGTTGATATCAAGTAATTCTTCTTTTGATCTGGGAACTTTTCGGCTTATCTGCTGTAATGTGGCATTACTGGGTCGAGAGGAAGAAATGTAGTCAACTAATCAGCAGTAGCACATATCAAAAGAAGTTTGGACATAAACAGAAATATTATTAAAAAAAATAGAAAAACAAATCTCAACAGAACCCTGATGCAGCCTAATTATAGCTTCATAAGAAAAAAGAATTACATCAGATCGGAAAGAATTTACAAAATATAGAATAGCAATACCGAAAATGTACAATATACTCCATAAAAGAGTTTATCTCCCTATCCGACAAAGGATGACAGAAGCCCTAAGAAAGGAAAGGAGAAGAACCAAGAAAAGGCATGATAGAGGCCACCGAATGCAACCTCTTCTCTGAAAATTGATGCAACCAAAGAAATTAAGCACAGAGAGGCTTATCCCCCACTCAACAATCCTCCCAATAGTAAATATCTTGACCTTCCCCCATATAACATTGCACAAATTGAGAGAATAAAAGAAAAACCTCACTTCGGCATTTATAGTTCATTTTATTCATCCATATAGAGGAAGAGGAAGCTCTTTAATTATTCACTTGAAAGCTATGAGATTTGGGAAGATTAAAATAGAGTATTTTTTAGATATATTTTAAGAGTTGAAGTGTCTGGAGTAAAATATATGCTGTGGCTTCTTTCAGACCTCAATAACAGAAGACCTTTGGTTTTATTTTTACATCATAGCAAATCGAAGAACCTTTCTATCGTCTTAAATTTGCTAATCCACTAGGGTTGGAAATCTTGTCCAACTTCCTCTCTTACTTTTAGACAATAGTCAGTAGATTGTTTCTAATTTTCCATCTTTTTAAAGAAACAGCCTTAAAGTAGCAAAGTGAAATAGTACAAGGACTCACCCAAATATATGATATGCCATAACACCATCTGCAGCCTCTTTAACGAGATTAGTTCGGAGCATCCGCAAAGAAGAATATAATTTTGCTGAGAGTCCCTGCAGTAAGAAAAACAAAATCATTTTCTTGCCAGAAACAATCCAAGTGATGAATTGCACACCACAAACATCAAGAAACAGTCAATATGAAAGCATTGCTTGATCCAACGCATGGTTTCAATACATTACCACGTCAATTTCTGATTGAGGTTGTACCGGAGTATCAATATGGGAACATATTTTTCCAGATACCAGAGAACCTTTGGCTGGAGTCGCTTCAGATTTGCTCAATTTATTTGTTCTTGCACTTGATGGAAACCTAGAAAGGTGTATCGTGTGCCAGAGAAAACAAATTAGCCATCAAGTGCTAAGCAAAAATGTAGTGCAAGAACATTAGAAATGAATCCTGCATTCACTTATGACTTGTAAGTGTCAAAGAAATTGCACGCCAACTACAACTAGCGGCAGGAAGAATATATATATATATAGATATTATATATGTTTTCTTTCACCCGATGAGAAACTGAGCACTTTTCCATTAAGGGAAATGAAAAAAATATTTAACCTTAATAATATTCGCTGCCCTCCATTGAAAAGATTGTGAGCCTTGGATTCGTTCACCTGAAGATAAATTGAAACATCACATACATATTTTAATATACAGACACCTAGATAAGCAAAAAGCAGCAAGAGAAAATTTCTAACTTAAAAGAGATTATTATTTTAAAAAGTAAGAAAAAAGGAAGAAAATAATCGTAGAGCCAAAAAAATTTTCAATTAGTACACAGAATGAAACGATTAGTTTAGCACCTTCAGTAAGGATGAGACAGACCCATAAATATCACTCTTCCTCACTTCTTCTGTAAGAATATCCTCAATAACAAGATGATGCAATATGCGGGAAGCTTCACTTTTCAAAAGGTGTTTTCCAGCTCCATGCAGACTCAAACTCTCATGTCTATGTTTTTTTACCTAGTTTTGTCAATAAAAGACGATCATAAATAATACCAAACGAGGAAAATAAACAGACAAAAGAGAAGTTTATATCATGACGCACAAACTGGCTCATGGAACCCCTGTAGACTTCAAGTACGTGAGCGGATGAAAATTGCTGCCTTATTGACCTCACCAGTTCAACCTTAACAAAACATACAAAATTTAACCATACAAATGATTATTACATTAACATAATGACACATAATAAAGCATGTACTACAAAAAATTTTAAAACACTATTAAATTTTTGCAGACCAATTGCTTAGCAATATCAGTGACATCCTTCTCTATAAGATTTGTGGACTTCAAACAATTGTCACATGTTTTCTTGCAGTTTTCAGGATCAAACTTATCCCCAAAATGGATAAGTTGTAGCAAACGTCGGCAATCAACATCATTTTCACAGTAACTGACCTAAAATTATCAAATGAAGAATAAATCAATTATGATTTGATTACTAAAATAATATGTTAAAAACAAAAAAAGAAAAGAATGGTAAATCCTTTATGTACCATCCGCAAAAGATTTTCAGTATTAGTCTCTAGTATCCTTCCGGAGCTGCCCACATTGGTACGATTATATCCAGATACTTGGGGACTTTGTTCAGCTGCTCCTTGGCTAATCATATGCTTGACTCGTATCTGTAGACATATTCGAGAAGTATTGGCAAATACAGGTATGTAATAGTCAACTGATACTGAATCCAACCCACTTTTCGAGAACAACCTATTGAATGTAATACATAGCCTTTACAGCCAGATAGAATAAACAACTATCCAAGTACATTAGTTCATAATCACAACTTACATAATCACTGTAACTATAATACAACACACAAGATGAACGCAGACCATCTCTGCCTGCACGCCCACACTCCTAAAACAATAGAAACACGCAGTAAGCCAACAACATTTTCTTTTTTAGGAAACGAGACTTCCAATAATCCAACAGCATTATAAAGCACTACTCATTACAAAAATAAATTAAAAGAGAAAAAAATCCAACAAATGCCATTGTGACTTTTATATTGTCAAGTTGTATTATAAATTCCAACAATACATTTTGAATCAAGACTATCAAGATAAACAGACAATACCAACCCATGAAGCAGTATTCAATTAATTACCTGATGGTATCCTTCAATTGACTTTGGAAGAGAATGGTGAATAACAAAGCGAACATCAGGCTTGTTGATACCTGAAATATTTAAATAAGTGCGTAGTTCTCATTTAATAAATACATTTACCAGCAATAATCAGCTATACCCATTCCAAAAGCCACTGTAGCACAAATTATATTAATTTCATCTTTACTCCATTGCTTCTGAATGAAGGCACGTTGGGTAGAATCCATACTACCATGATAAAAGGCTGCTTTATGTCCACATTCCTAAAAATTATTTCATTGGATTAGGGCGCACAGAGTTGAATCACTATCGTCAATTTCAAAAGCACAAAACAACAAGTAAAGCAATTATGGCACTCATCAGTTTCTTTTATATGAGTGTTTGTATTTTAAAATATTATTCAAATGAAAATTTGATTTTCAACCTATATGGATGTATAATAATAAATGATGTATGAAACTTGCATCTTGTGAGTGCAAGTATATTTGATAGTGTAGAATCTTTGGATGAGGATTTTAAGAAATGTTCTAGTTTTAGCAACACCTGGTCCTTTTTTGGGATTCAAAATCCCTTTGGGCTCTTAATTCAAATTCATCTTGTAACAATCCTTAATCTTTCATTGCCAAAGGTTGGGGTTCTTCTTTGTGAATGTTGTGAGTGATATTCCCCCTTTTCGTCGAGCCGTTATTTCTTGCAGGTGTCTCCCTGTACACTTTATTTTTCATTATTTCTCCCATTTCTTAATGAAAATTAGTTTTTCATTAAAATAATATTTATTTGAAAAAAAAAAAAAAAGAAAGAAACCAAATAACCTATCTTATTCAAAAACAGGAGATGATTAACATATATGTTCTAGCAAAAGGAGTGTCGCAGCATGTATGCTGAATGCTCTACATTGATACTAGATACCTTGGTTAGAGGAGTTCATTAGTTAGTTGACCTCTATATTGATGTAAATATATTATTGTATATTAATGTAAATATCATCACTTTGATTTTGTTAGATTACACTAGTATCTTGTAGAAACTTCATTTCCAAACTAATGATGTTAAAAATGCTTAAAATATTTTATACACTCTTCTATATCTTCAGAATATTCTTAAATTGAAACTCAAAGTGATATTGAAATAGTTATTGATTCTACAGTTTTTGTGTGTGCAACCAATTACCCGCCTTAGGAATTATTTCAACTTTATCATAAAATAGTTTGGCTTCCCTTTAGGATGCTTTCCTCTTTTGCGAATGGTTGAGATTGAATATATCTTTGTACTTTTTCATTTTATCAATGAAATTTTTTTCTTCTATTGGGGAAAAAGTTTGGCATAGAAGAGCAGGGAGCATTAGTTCTAGATAGTTGATCTTGGTTATCGTTTATTTAAGTGCTCACTTTGACTTTTGGATTTTTACCCTTCATGGAGTTCCGGGGATCTATTGTCTTTCCTTTCTAAGAATTTCACATCTGCATGTTGTCATTGCTACTATTGACATAGAAATTCAGGGTATACCAATAGGCTGAGGAAACCAACCTGTAACTTTTCAGCAACCTTTTCACAGTCCATTCTTGAAAGACAGTAAACAATACCGCACTCATCAAAGTGGTTCTCCTTGATGAACTTATCAATGTCATCAACACATTTCTTAGCCTTTGGAATCACAGAATACCTGCAAGAGTAGTGATCAGAGAATATCTAGGTTCTAAGACAACAAGTCTTCACCCTTCAACAACAAAGAAAGGTCCTTCAATATTATTTTTTGAATTCTCTCGAGTTTGTGACCCTTTCTTGGAGTAAATTGCATGCTCTATTTTGTAACTAAAACTTTATGTAATCTTTGCTTTCCTCCCCTCTTTTGTAAATTCACTTATTCAATGAAATTAATTTCTTACCAGAAAGAAATAAAAGGACAATGTAAGTTTTTTGGATGATAAATGTCTTAAATTTCATTTTCTAATTCGTGGACTGCAAAATCCTTGGGAACTTAATAAGTTGTTCAAGAAATAATTTTTCACTTCCTATGCTATGGGTCAAAGATCGCAGAAGCCAAGAGCATACATTTAATAATTGCTTACCATAAATTTGGCCGATTGAAACTTTGACGGAAAATTATGCAGTTAACAAGTCCAAGAGCTTGCACAACATCCTCTTTTACACTTGCTGTTGCGGTAGCTGTTAGAGCTAACACTGGAACTTTAGGGAATTTCTGTTTCAAGATACCAAGGCCCTGTAGATGTAAAAGAACTGCTTATCAAAACTCAAGATAAAGAAATACGAACAATTGAAATTTGGTCTTGTCAAATCACACCTCCCACTGAATCGGTGAAGGTGAGATTAAAGCTTTACATTCAGTCATATTTTTGTGCCTGTTTTAGATAGTGGGATAAAACCACAAGTTGAAAGCTTTCAAGGATAAACCTGATAATCCGGCCTAAAATCATGCCCCCACTGACTCACGCAATGAGCTTCATCAATAACAATTCTGGCAAGCAAGTCACGGGCATTCAAACTCTCCAAATGTCGCAAAAGGACATCGCTTCTGTAGAAAACAATTAATTAAAAAAGAAAGGAAAAAATCAGTCTCGATATTTGTAACATAAATTATACCATTCAAAAAATAATCACTTCTAATATTTCACAGGAAGTATTATTACAAAAAATATACCCACTTGGCAACTTTCTCCGGCGTGACATACAGCAGCTTGAATTTAGAGAAATCAGAACTCAGTTCTCTAAGAATCTCTTGTTGCTCACTCCACTCCATATTGGCACTTAGGTAAGCAGCTGGTATGTTTGCCTATGGTGTGATATAATTGGTTTTAGAAGGAAAAGACCAGATTAAGAAAATCTTCATAATGATAAACTTGCCTGCAATAGATGCATGATCTGATCTTGAATAAGTGACACAAGTGGAGATATCACTAATGTTACACCAGGACAAATCAAAGCAGGGAGCTGCAGAAAAACTGAATAATAAGTAAGAATTCCAATCATGTAACAAAAACGCCTAGTTCCTAGAAATCAACAAGTATCCATAGCACTGAAAACTTGGGTGATTGCAGGGCATAGAGCTCCGAAATCAAACTGAAAGTGAATACAGATAAAAATGACAGTACTGAATGAGTGTCAAAACAGAAACCTAAAAATAACTGCTTGAGGTTTTGAGATGTGTTCCTTTACCTGATATGTTAGGCTCTTCCCCCCTCCAGTTGGCATTAAAACAAAGACGTCATACCCACTCATTGTAGCATTAATCACCTCTCTTTGATTTGGACGGAATGAATGATTACCAAACACTTTTTTGTTATTAGCCTTAAGACATAAAAGACCAAAGATCAGTTAAAAAGACAATGGGTATAAAAAAAGTCAGAAGCTTAATAGCCTTAGAGTATAACCTCCAACTTTTTTGTCCAAGGAAAATTCAGGCTGCTCCACTTTTTTTCATTAGAACCTTCAATGTAGTTGACATCAACCACCTTTGGAATGTATTGTTCTCTCTCCACTGGACCAGATGACATTCCAAACCTTTCAACCGAATAGGATGAAACCATTGGATTCCATGGCTCATTCCTTCTAAGCTCACTTTGTAGATGAACTTCAAAATTATTTTGTTTTGAATCAGTCCTGAACTCAACTCCTTGAGGTGTTTCAAAATGAAAAGTCTTTGGAGTTACTGTTGTTGCCAAAAAGTGAGACCTTCGCCTTTCCTCGTTAACTGCATTGAGAGAAAGATGTTTTTCTAGCAGCTGAATTGCTTTATTTAGATGTACCCTGAAAATGAATAAAAACAATAATTTAACTTCCATTTTTTAAGTAATATGCAGATATATAAGCAAAAGGACCAACTAACTACTACATAAAACTAAAAGGCAAATAAATCCATCCTAATTGTAAAAAAAATAGATACAACCAAAATTCATGACACACACACACACTCCATTTTCAGTACTTATTCAAAAAACCATTCCAAAATAAACTTTTACATTAAGATTGTATAGAAAAAATGGATTGAAAAATGGATAGCAACCTTTCTTGCCGAAGCTTATCTATCTGCACTGGGCTCAGGTTATTAACATTATCGAGCAGATCATTTGATATAGAAATTAGCATATCTTTCATCTCCTGTAAATGGCCTGAAGCTTCTGGGCATAATCCTATCTGTAGAGTAACCAAGAATCATCGAACAAAATATATTAGCAGGTAAAATGTTGGGGATAAAAATATAAAACAATTTTTTATACCTTGGAACCATGACTGCAATTCGTGCACAATTCATCTGGAAAATTAGATTCCTCTTGTCTGGCAAAATTATCTTTCTCAACTATTGGAGTAATTGGTGGGAGCTTAGAAACCGAAGGTTGGGGTGTGCAGGCTGATTGTGATTGGTATTGTTCAACTATTTGGTCCACGTCAATGTTCTGTGACAGAAAGTACTTACCTTATAAGAGATTTGATTCTTTAATTTAACGTGCATTATAATATCTGAATAAATACATTATAGCAAAAATTTAACTATAATCATAATAGCATAATAATAATAATTAAACAACCATCAAATTTCAAGTACAAGGAAGGTCACATGGTGACGCATTAGCCAGCTAGTTTGACTATAACCTAAATTGGGATCTACTGGTCACAGTAAAAATATATATATAAACTTTTGCTCATCCATATACCGGTTAGTTGTCTCCTACATAATAGAGATTACAAATGAGCGGGCTTCAGCAGTAAAAGATCATTTCTGGTAAATTCACCAATGAAGAGTTACATTCATGCCTTGCCAAGAGGAACAGAGCTAGAACTAAATCCAGAAAACTGAGACAACCGTGCCTAGATTTGCTTTATATAAATAAAAAAATATATTGACTAAGATTACCTCTATTATGTCATCATCCTCATCCCCCAAAAATGAGGAACAGTTGTTTCTCTGGTTAATAGCAAAATTGAATGAGCCATCTACCCTCTGAGAATGAGAATGATTGACCATCAATGGTCTGGCCACATTTTTCCCATCTACACCATTTTGGTCTTCCACAGCTTTAATGTTACTTGATGATGCAGAGAGATTTGATACGAAACTTGAAGGTTTAGTTGCATCAACACCAAATTCACTAACATTTTTATGTATTTTCATATATTGAGAACTAGCGTTGGCATCAGACAAACTATTTGATGTAATTCTTCCAGGACCTGGAGGACAGTCAGCAAAAACATCCTTCACTTGTCTAGTTTTTCCAGGTTTAGCATAGTGTCTAGATGAAATCTGGAGATTTGAAAGAACATTCCAAGCCTGCCAGGAAACATCAGAAATACAATTATGTGGAAAATGAGTATTCCAAGAGTTAAGCTGGAGGAATACAACTCCTATTTTCGATCTCTTACAGAGAAGGCATACAATTAGCTGAGAATGGACAGGAAATGTAATTACCGTAATAATTCATTTTATTTTAGGAAGGTTAGTGATATCAGATAAACATTATCAAGAAAAAGAGCAACTTACAATGATATGATAAAGAACTTGACTTTTGCATAAAACTATTTAAATTAAACAAGTGAAAATCCCAAACATGCAGAACTGGAATTTAAAAGTCAAACTATTGTTCAGGATGCTTGGGGTTTTGCACAATCACATGGAAGAAGCAGAATGATAAATTCATATAAGTCTTGTAGTTGTTCCCGTACACGCAGGTTCAAATATCTCAAACGAGAACTTGGGATACGCTAAACATGGAAGATCAAGCTTGTCCATTCTTACATTATTCCCTTGCCACCAAATTTTGCACAAGCAATCCAGAAGTTTGGTGCAACATTTGGTTGGCATCTACAAATGACTTATCCTTTTTTTCTGTATGAAACGGAGAAGTTAATATATGGAAAGAAATTACAAACTAAGGGAGGAAAAACCAAGCCCTACATGAAGGAAGATAACAAACTGAAACAGCTCATCTAATTGATGAACAGATAGCAAATGCTACAACCATTGAAAAGGGATACAGTTAACACAAACAGAGGCCAACAAAAAGAACATTTTCAAGGAAATAATCTTTACTTTTTTACGGTATCATTGAAAGTTCTATTGTTACTTTCTAACCAAAGATTCAAAAAAAAAAAAAAAAAAAAAAAGATCTAACGAAATGGATCCATAAGACTTTCTCCTTCTCAAAGAGGGGTGGCCAAGCAAGATAACCACCAACACCCCCATCTAACTTATCCTCACTCCACTAAACAAATGGTCATTTAACTCTTTTTGCGACAAGAGGTTCAAAGGTCGTAAAGTAATTTGTGGCAGACTGTTTGTGATGTCTTTCTTTGGAAGGTCTAGTTGGAAAGAAACAAAAGAATCTTCAACCAAAGAGAAACCTGTGCTAAAATCTAGGATATAATTTCTCTTTCAACTTATCCATGGAGCCTAAAGTCTAAACATTTTTCTTTCCAGTTCCTCTGTAATGTCCATATATGTATGTCAATTAGAGAGTTTCTTTTTTTAACTCCTTTTATAATTTCATTCATATCAACAAAATTGCCCCTTATCTGGAATAACTCCTCATACCCTGGTAGGTTTGCCACCCGAGATAAGAGGTTTTAAGAGGGCTGCACCATAATAAGAATTGGGGATGGGGAGAGAACCAACTTTGGAAACACATTTAGGCAGTAGAAAGATAAGAACTTGTTTTGGATTACCCTCCCGCGTCATGTACACATTTTTTAAGTTAATAATTTTTTCCTTATAAAAATAAAAATAAAATAGATAAAAATATAAGATAGACATCAAACTATTCTTGGATACAATCATTCAAGTGATTTTACCTTTTCAATCTGTGACCTTTGTATTCTTTGAGTATTCTGCATCTGACAGGCCAAAATCCTAAACAAAAAACAAATAATAATAAATTATGGAGATAAATAACCCAATGCAAAGGGTGAAGAAATCCTATTTTCCATTAATTTGTAAATTGTAATAACAAACTTTTTCTTCTTTCTTTAAAGCAAAACTACCTTAAAATTTAAAAGAATTTTGGTGTGTCTGATAAGAAACTATTTTACAGTAAAATGAAATAGAAAGGAGCCATGTTCAGATGTATGCAGAAAGGTGCAAAGGGATATACAGTGGTAATTACAGAAAGGTGTATGCACATAGAAGAAACCACAAAAACAAGTTGTCCCAGAAGATCTGCAAATGTTTTTTCCCTCCCAAAAAAGTTGTATCCTTTCTAACTATAAAGACCAAATAAAAACACTACTAACCCAGTCATCAATTAGACAAAGATTGTAGGTCTCAAAATTTTCAAAATAGTTGCTTTTCGGGGAAAAAAAAGAACCTTGAATGTATGAACATCAATTTTTTCAATTAAGAACTCTGAGCTGTCCAAGGGACCACTTGAATAATAGCAATATGCCCAAAAGATGGGGTAAAACTAGCCTTGGATGGCATGAAACCAATGAAGCTCTTTTTAACCTTTTTGAGTGATACTATTTGTTACTATAGCCAACAAAAATAACAGCAATGACTAACTGGAACTATTTTGAACAACTAAAGGGTTAAATCATAGTATTTGAAGACTTGGGGATCAAACAGACACAATGATGAAAACTCATAAAATAAAGTGTAATTTATCCAACGTTTATTAACCGAATAACATAGCCTTCACTTTGAAGTTTAAGAAAGAAGTTTTGGCTTAATTGAAAGGGAAGGAAACGATGAACCAACTAAGAATGCAAGAGATAATTCCCATAAAAAACTAATTATCCCTCGTCCACTTTTGGTTTTGCCTCCCCTAATTTTCAATACACTTCAATAGAAAAGGTTTTCCTTCCAATAGATACCAAGTCTACAGTTTTAATCTGATCCTAAAGAAGCAAAATCAAAGATAAACAAAGACTAGGGCTCAAGAGAGAGGAGCAAAGGCACGAAGGCAAACAAGGAAGCTATCAAACAGAAAGGGGAGGTAGAGAGACGTGATCATGAGTAAGAGGAACTTATTTTTTTCACTCTTACTTTATCGTTGATAATCCTACTAACTTTCTAACCAACATTTAAGAAATATATTGGCATCATTTATGAAATTCAGTAGATTATATTTATTTAAAATTTAGACTCTGAGACATTGGTTAAGAAAGTAATTAAAGCCGAGTAAGAAATGAAAAAAGTCAAAGTCCACAGCTAGCTTGCAGGCAATGTTGTCGTGTATTCAAAGAGGCGGAAAATATGCAATCTCAAAAACCAATAAGTATCAAATTAGCTGGGCAACGCAATACAGAGGAATTAAAAAATGTACAATGAGTTGTCATTATTTTATGAAATAAGGCAAATGGTATAAGCACTTCGATAAGGATTTATGAAAGTTAGGCCAATTTAGATACCCAGAATTAGTTGCTCCTATAGTAGAAGGCTTTTGTTCTGATAGAGAGTAGAGAAAATTCGAGCACAGAAACTTCTTTTGGCATGTGAAATCTTTATGTGCTTTCGAATGTTCCAACCAATTCATTTTAGGACATTTACCACCAGATTTGAGATCCACCTGAATTGCCTTGACTGCATATAAACCAAATGGAGTTAACCACTAAAGATAATAAGTAAATGGGAAGTACTAAGTGTGAAAAAGCTGCTACTCTTCTCGCATGTTTTCTTCCTCAGATTTGAATTGACACGGATGCCTGATACAATAATAACTCCCCCAAGGAGAATCAACAACCTAAAACACAACAAAACTTCGATTATAAAGTTTTCATATGCAACTGGAAGTAAGCAGGAACAGAAGATGTATTTGCTGTTTTAACATTTGAACAATTAAGTGTCCATCTACACAGTACAAGAAGTACAAATGTTGCGTAATCCCAACCTCAACCAAACATTAACTTACCCGAGTTCGAATAACCAGTACAGACTCCAAACAGTGTCTACTCGCAGCTTTTAGAACTCCAAATCATAAACCTATCAGTGGACACATAAACCATCGAACAAACTCATCGCCTGCCGTGTCATCAAACCCCATTGACAGTATAGAGAACTTCCGATCACAACACCACAAAGTCTCACCTTCCACTCACAACACAAACGCCCAATCCTTCAATAGATCACGCGAATGTTCGCATTCAATGACCCAATAACAGAGAACGTCCAGAATAGTCCACGAGACACTCAATCAACAGAGTGGCCAAATGGGCGAAACCCTAAAGCAAGTTCTTCAGGCAAATGCCTGACACCATAATGTAGATAACCGATAAAATGGTGCAGATATGGCGATCTCGAGCAACTGAACCGAAAACGAACTCGAATTGAGTGTTGGTCGAGGATTGGAAACTTGTATGTGACGGAACCCAGTTGCTGACGGTATGGAATTCGACCCCCAAATCGAGCAAGAAATTGAAATACAGCGGGAGAAAATGGCGGGTTGCGGTGGCGGGATGACATTCTATTTCAATTTTCATTTCAGTGATGTAAATTTTCTCTACGGCTACGGAACGGGTCTTTCGCCAAAATGCTCTTTTACAAATTACACATCCCTTTTGTCTTCTAAGATCTGGCTACATTTTAATTTTAAGAATTTTTTATGGATGTGTTCGTTTTCTAAGGAAATTATAATATATGGTATTTAAAAATATACCAACTATTAAATTATATGTTATCGTTCTAAGAGATCATGGTTAATTTCCACAAATGTGAATGAGAGGAGAAGTTCGAGGTTTCACTCAACTCAATACGTGACAATGAAGCAGTCAATTCTCTTTTTATGCACACTGGACAATTTTACAGATGTCTGGACCAAGGAATATCTACGATAGACTCAACAAATTCTAATATTTTTTCTTTTTATCTTTTAACCCTTATTATATATTATACTCGACCAAAGAATAAAAATAAAAATTATCGTGTAACTGTTGAAGTTCTATATATACATAATCATATATTTGATGACTATTTAATCTTTTGTTTTATATTTTTAAGAATTAAATTTATTAAATATTATTTCTACCTATATATTTTGTTTCATTTTACTTTTTACGATCACATAATCTAAATTAAATTTCGAAATATATAAAAATAGTTTTTTCAGATCTTTTTATATATGTTTAACTGATAATTTAAATATGTTTTTAAGCGGTGAGAAGTCAAACAAATATCTAAAACCAAAATAATTATCATAGTTAATTAATTACAATTGCAGTCATTTTGGATGGGATTTAAATAGCATTAATGTAAAAAAAATGCGTTAATTTGTATTAATTGTAGCATTAATGTAAATAAAAGATGTGCCGATATGAACATAATTGAGCGGTAATTGGCACATACTACTTTCCTTGAGCTCGGAGGTTCAATTTTCTATATCCCCAAATTGTTGCACTAAAAAAATGTAAACAAAATATGTACTTGTGATAAAATTATAACATCAATTAATTTGGTTCACCGTAAGAAAGTCCACTTAAGTTATAACACTAGAAAATATTGTAGGAATTTTTTTTTTTTTTGTGAAACTATATTTTCAATTGCTTAGTTTGATAATTACGAAAAAAACAAATAATGTGTCAAATGAATATTATTGTCGCACGACCTGCACTTGCTGGCGTAAATTAAAATACACAATAATATATTATAAAAATAACCTTTCTATGGATTGAGATCATGCATACAACAAGTATAATTATATATTTTGTATATCTCTTAACCATGCTACAAGTAGGGAACAAGATGTCTTGTAATCAAGTTTTATATAGACTTCCTCACACGCAACGTATGTTCAAACATTCACACCTCTATACGACGAACACACATAAACTTTTTTGTTTTTATAAGGATTGGAATTTGAACTTACAATATTTTGGTCGATGATATGTGTCATAATAAATACGTTCGACTAATAAAAAAAATATGTAAATGTTTATAAAACATACGCTATTAAATAATGTTTATATGCAGCAAACCTTAACATAATTCAATTGATTAAAACACCTATATCCAACCAAAATATCACAAGTTTGAATCTACATTTTCGCGTAGTATACTCAAAAAATGTCTATACACAAGGCATCCATGGAGTGAAGATGGATATTGTTTATGCAAGGATATGCACAACAGTGTATTTCAGATTGCAGCTCGAACCCGGCCTCCGGACCGATCTGAATACTTGGGCGGACCTGCACAAAAAGGTGAGCACTCCGACAATCAAGTCAGTATAGGTCGGATTCCCAATTTAGTTCGAGGTCAGAAATCATCGTACCTGATCGTGAAGTGATGTCCTCTACTTATGGGTGGTAGTCCCGCTAATCTCGCGACGGTTACACCCGGTAATCTCGGGACCGACAGTTACGCCCGATAATCACACCGCTGACAGTAGCTCACATCGGCCCCCACCGAGCTTCCCGGTAGGTCGGACCTCGGCCAGGTTCACCTCGGCCTTCATACTTAGCATC